TGAGTAGGAATTCGTGTGGAAGTGCCAACAGTGTCCTGGAAAATAGAAAGAATTTGTTTCTTTTAGAATCCTCACAAAGAAAAAGGGAGTGGAGAAATAAATAATAAGCAGTCAAAGTAAATACCTGGACTGGGATTTCAGCACCAGGACTAGAGTTGTCACTTTCGCTGGGATTGTTTAACCTAGCGATTACCTCCTGCTCAGTGGGCTCGTTGATGACTACAGGAGGAGGTCTCACAACTGTAGTCTTAACCCTGATTTTTGGACGGGGTTCAACGGCAGAAATTGGTTTCTTCAATCTTCGTCTCTGCAAAGGAACAAGAGGAGACTCCTCTTCTTCATCGCTAGAGATTTGGATCTCCTGAACCTTCCATTTTTTGGGGGTTGGTTTCTGAACATCCAGAAAACCGAGTCGAAGGGATCAGTACCTATGTCAGATAAAAAAATAAATAAGGGTATGAAAGAAGGTAAATACCTTAGGAGAGGGGTTGACGGCGGAATCTCCCCCTTTTGTACTCTCAACAGTCTTCTTCGAGCTGGTTCTCTTGACAGCTAAACAAAAGACAAGACAACTATAGTTAATTGAGTGTCGAAAGAAAAATCTAAGGCGGAGATATGGAAAAGAGTAATACCTTTCTTGACCCTGTCGAGAACAAGCTTAAACGCCTCACGTAGTTGGTGGGCGAAGTCCTTCTCATTGATGAACTCTTCGTCATAATATTGTTTCCACCACTCCTCAAAGGGAACGGAACTCATAAAATTGAGGTTAAAGTCGAACAGGGTCAGTATAGTTCGACCAGAGTACCTACCAATATGCTTGGTGGCGGCATCTTCTGAGTAGTCTGCATTGTAAAAAAGTAGCTGCTTCTCTCGAGGATAAATAGGTGAAGGAAGTGATTGAGCAATACCAAATTGTCGAGAGACAAGATTTGGTTAATAAGCAATTAAGCTCAATTGATTTTTTGAGCTCTTAAATCTCAAAGGCATGATCCTGGGACGAAGAAACGATTCCCACATGCTCACGAACTCATCAGTCACGTCATCCTCCTCATTCGAAGGATATGGTCTGGTGAACCATTCCAGACCAACTTTTCGAATGGCAAAGGGAGCCATGGTCGAAACAAAGCGCTTTCGTTCCGCAAACATCATTACGAAGCTTGTGAAAGCCTTCTGAAACTGTTGGCCTTCATCAGTGGGAGTTAGCAATGCAAGCCTGGTGCCTTCGACCCTCCTGTTTAGGATTTCAGGAGCCTCTTCGTTAATCTTGTTCTTCTGGGGAAGGAAAGATTCAAAGGTGGCATTGAGCCACAGCTGGAGAAGACAAAAGGGACCAGATAGCAGAAGGATCCCCCTGTCCCCTATAACCTTAAGTTGAGTCACACCATTACTGATGGACTCATATAAGTTGGCCAAAATCAATCCGGCCAGGCAAGGGGGGTATTTGTGGTGAAGCTGTGTCGCGAGCGTCAGCATCTTTTTTGTCACCTACAGTGACTTAGTACAAAAAACAAATCGAGACAACCACATAGCCAAGAAGGCTATATGCTCCACCTCCGACACAATGCTAGAGGCTTTGTCATGGAAGTTGTTTATAAAGGTGGTGTAAGTGGGTTTTGTAGCAGCGAACCCAATAGTATCCTCAGACAAGTCTTCAGGGTCGAAATAGTCACCAGTGGGTCGAAGACCAGTGATGGTATCTATGTCGAATAAAGTGGGGGTCATCATCCCACAAGAAAGATGAAAAGTGAAATATGCGCTATCCCAAAAGTACAATGAAGATACCAGCATGAGGGGACAGTAAGGCAATCCTGTCTTCGACAACATCACCAAGTCATAAATGCCCATCTCTTTCCAGACAGAAGCTTGCGCCCTCTCCATTTTATTCAACCAGTCTGAATATTCATAAGAGAGGTTAGGGCTTGATCGAAAGATTCGGTTCCCTTTGTTCATGAACTGGAGGTTGATATCCTCTGTAGTCTGAGGATGCTGCTGGTTAGTCGGAGTAGCGTCTTCAGGGTCCTCCCAGGGTTTCTTCGCGCAACCTATGGGTCTAAGCCTTGGGTGAGTAGGAAAGAAGGCATGGTTTTTCAAGGGATTTTCGACGCATGAAGATAACGGACCGGATATAGCATACCTGTTTCTATCGTATCTGATGGGAATGAGGAGTTGAGAATCATATTCTTCTCTCCATTCTTTCGTCATAGGTTCAGCAACATACCTATCAATCGAGAAAGAAGGAGGGTTGGTGGTAAAGACCTCTGGCGGTTTCTGGACATCATCAACGTTTTTGGGTTGAGGATTGTTTGGTGCATTAGAGAGAAAAGCCATTATTGAGGATGAGAGAAAAAAAAACGAAGTTGACAGTACAATGTTGTGAGAAAGCAAGGGATTTGGAACTGCTGGAAATGGTAAAAGTTCCAAATAGAAAGGCTTAGAAGTATTTATAGCCTTCAGAAGAGGGATATGTCTCGTCAAGGCCATTTAATGTTACACAGGTAGTGGGACACTTGGCGAAGCATGAAATGGTTACCGTGCAGGCATTGGGAAACATTTAGACATGCTTGCCTAGGTTATAGGGATATGGTCATCATGGCAAGCGTGGTAACGGCAGTTTGAAGAGACATCTTGGAGAAAGAGTCATGATGGTTTTCTTGAGTGCAGCAGCTGTTGGAAGGCGAAAAGCACATGTCAAGACTTGGTGGACAATTGGGAAGACAAGTGTCGAATGGGAAGTTCAAAGAATGACTATTTCTTTGAGCGTCGAAATAGACATTCTTGGGGGGCAATTTGTTGGCTCCCAAATTTGACACTTACTATATTTGGTCTTTTAGACCAAACAATTGGAAAGAACCAAGCTAGGAAGTATGATTCGACACATGAAATAACTTAAGAAAAAGATCTAAGTTATGTTGGAATCTTCGACCAAGGGCTCATTCGACTGAAGAAGACTTATGTCACTCGACTAAGAGAAAGTATTCCCACTTTGACACATGATACGAGGACTATTTGAATTTTGAATTATTTGAGGGAATGGCAGTTTTCGTCAGCGTCTGAGAAGAGGCAACGTGGCCAAACGCTATGGGTCGAGGGATATGCAGAAGACACTTGTCTTCATCCTAGCGCAGAATGTTCCCTCGACGGTTACCTACTTTTAGTATAAATTAAGAAACTTGTGTAATTTTTAAGTGTGTTGAACCTATTGTACTAAGTCACTCAAACATTATCCAAGTAACTACTGCGTGAGAAAGGATAAAGCTAAGCAATGTACGTTGGAAACACCTTTTTTCCTTAATGAAAGTCTAATACATTACTTTACTATTATCCTGCAAAGTTATCTTTTTTACTTCTTTTACTTGCATTTCTATACTTCTGCTTACTTTTCAACAATCTCAAACATCCTTTCTCTGGGTCGAACGTGCGTTCTTCCTTCTTACTCATTTTACATAAAAATTAGCATATGTCCTGGGATTAGTTTGATCGATCCCGTAAGTAAACCAAAAAACTTACCTTTTTGGAGATCAGCGGTTGTTTACCAAAAACAACGGTAAAAAGGATGCAATAGTCTTTATGAGACGTGCCAAACACAATTCTGATGTTTCTTCAGACAACAATCCTGAATCTATTAGAATGTTACATATAAAATATATGAATTATTATCATCAAAACTCAGAGATTATACACAGAACTAAATCTTGTTCTAACATTATATATATATATATATATATATATATATATATATATATATATATATATATATATATATATATATATATATATATATATATATATATATATATATATATATATATATATATATATATATATATCAAATAAAAAAATATTGTCATATAAGGATTTTTTTTTCCACTTGTTTTGCTCATGGTTGCAATAAATGAATAATTTTCATATTTGAACACTTTAATTTGTTTATGACTATTGTATGGTTATTTACAATTTGTGAAAATATATAAAGTTACATTCCCTTTTTTTTTTTTGTTTTGAGTTTTATATATTATTTCTCGTGTTTGGAACAACAAAAAATTAATAAGAAAGATTAAAAACCCAATTGTGATCACTACCTTTCTCAAATGTACTTACGCAATCAATTTATAATATAAGAAAATAAACTGTTGCGAAAAAATTAAAACTTCCCCTAGCCACGTCCTCAAAATATGGGCAATTGTTGTGACCATAAAAAATACTTTTTGTGACCATATTTTAATTTGGTTTCTAATATCTCATCAATTACATTGTTCTTAGTTTATCATAATTGTACTTATACTAATTTATATCCACAAAGTTAACAGAAATTGTTCAATTTCAACAACACTTTTTTATATGCATACAAATTAACAACTTTGCTTTGGTTCCTTTGAACAATTGAAAATGTCCAATCACTATCATATTTTTAAGGAGTGAATGTTGAAAACTTGACTATACATGCATCTGATTTATTTTCATATATGACTTTTTCTGATAGGAATGGAAATTTCCTATAAGAGAAAGAATATTAAATTGATTAAATAAAATAAAGAAAAATAAAAGACTTTTCATTTAATTTTTGATATCCTAAAATATGTCAAAGACACTACATATATAATGATACTAATTAATCATTAATTAAAATGTCCAAATACAAATAAAGCCCAATAACTATATTAATAATATAAGTTCTATTATTACTCCTATTAATAATAATACTAATTACTAATAATATAAATTCTATAATACTCTTCTATCATTGCTGTCGGGTTCACTTGAACCTTGTCCTCAAGGTTCTAGAATACTCGTTACTAGTTTTTACTTCTTTCTCATGCACATCAAAACACACAAAATGCTCATTACTAGCTTGAGATATCATAATAACATGGGCTCCAACATCTTTTACTGCTCTAAAAATAGTACTGGCAGTACCTGGAACACCAGCCATTCCAATTCCTTTCATATTTATAAGTGCCAAGTTGTCTATTGTTGTAAAGCCGTTGACATAATTTTTGTCTTCATATCTTCATTTTCAATATTAGAAGGATGGCATACCATTGTTCCAGGAGCAGAGGTATTGAAATATTCCTTATTATGACTGGAATGCCATATCGAATAATTGGACTAATTGTTCGTGGATGTAAGAAATTTGCACCAAAATAAGACATCTTTGATGCCTCTCGATAAGATAGTGTCTTCAAAATCACGACCTCACTAACTTTTCTAGGATCTACACTGTACACACCAGCAACATCTGTCCAAATGGTGACCTGACGAGCCCGAAATAAAGCAGCCATAATTGCTGCTAAGAAGTCACTTCCATCTCTCTTGAGAGTAGTTGGAATATTATGACGCGTGCTTGCTATAAATCCAGTAGCAATAATCACCTTAGATGAGTTAAGAGAGTACCATTTATTAAGTCTCCTTTAAAATTCTAAGTCATCAGGATCAACTTGATCAGCACTAGTAGAATTCACAATGAGGACTTGCCTTGTGTCCATCCATATACAATCAGTCCCTTTCTTCTTAAAAACATAAGACAATATTTGTGCATACCATAACTCCCCATGTCCCACAACTAAGTCAGTAACATATTCTGTAGCATGACCAACTATGTCTATAGCATGAAGCGTTGCCTTTAAGTTTCTAATATCTTGATGCAAATTGGCTAAGAAAGTAGCAAGATCAACTCCATCAAATAACTCATGTGCACTTAAACTGTGCTTCTCTTCAACAACATCCAATGTAGATATATAAGACTTATCCTGAGATTGAGCTTTGTGTATGAGATCATACATTATATCTGTTACTTTTGACATAGCAGACACCACAACTAGTTTCCTCTCAGAATCATCACTGATAATTACACCTGCAACATTATTTATCCTCCCTGAACTTTCCACACAAGTTCCACCAAACTTGTGAACAGACCAAGTTTCTCTTTTTGGTAGCTTTTTCTCCTCTACAGCTACATCCACTGTAAAATTTGTAAGTGAAAAGTGTATCTTGAAGGATGGTGAGTCTATTCCTCATAGTAAACTAACACTCTTACTTTGGAATTCACTTTCTTCACAACACAAAAACCCAGCAACAATTTGATCTGATGGTTTCAGCGGAATTGCAAAATCAACATCATCATGAAACAATCCATCGTTGAATTGAGGCGCGACCATGAGAGGTATTGAAGATTCAAAATCTATCATTTCAGAATATTGTTGAAATGACCCGCAAGAAGGAAAAAACCTTAGAGACTTTTCTTTCAATCTATTCAACCTCTTTTCATTATCACTGAACACAACATGTGAAATGGGTGGAATTTCATCGACAACAGTGTTTGAACGATTTGTCATAACATCATCGTTGAAACTTTGACTCTCAGACCACACACAAGAATTGATAACACGAACAATTATATTCTCACCAAAATCAGAATTCTCATTAAGCAAGAGTGTGCCATTTGGAGGAAGATTGGTACTGCCTGATATGTTTATAAATTGATTGTTTTGCAACTCTAGTAGAAATTTTGTATTAGCATTTGAAATCTTGTTCTGCCAAATGCTGGAAGGAACACTTCCACTCAATAAATTGTTTGCAAGGGATAATTTTTGGAGTCATGGACGATCAACAAACTTCTGCACATGAGCCTTGGCCATTTGTGCAGACTCAACAAGTCAACAATCTGTTGAAGAGCACTTTCCGATCCAACTTTGGTTGCCTTAACATGCAAGATTCTATTCTCATTCAATGTTCCACCAATAACAGTATCACCTGTAGCAACACTTTGATCAAGTGGTTTCGGCGGCGACACCAGTGATGATTTCTGATGCAATGGGATTTCCTAAGAACCAATCAAAGTTTCAGCAAGGTCTGCCGTGATTTCAAACCCTTCAGGAAGATCGGAGCTTGCTCTGCAAATTTTAAAAGGAAATCTCGATAGTACTTTTTCTCAATAACTGCACTTTCATTGCTGTCCTGTTGAGTTTAATCACGTTTCTTCACTGAACTCAATGGATCATGAGGTATTTTATCAAACACCTCATATGCATTATTTTCTAAAACTGGAACATGTTTAGGATCAAAATCCTCAACTTTCAAAGAAGAAACACGAGTTGATGGATACTCCAAACTCAAAACAGAATCAGCTGAATCCCAATCTTGTTGGTTGAACTCGTAAAAATCAAAACTCTCTTTCTCATCATCATTCGAACCCTTAAAACTCCAATCTGATTCCCTTTACCATTCCCAATTGTAAACTGATTAGCAACATTTTGACCAACAAACCCTGCATTCGGCTTATTAGCATAATTACCTTGAGAAACCCCATCCAACTTAGTAAAACCCGAAAACGAAGACCAATGACCAGACACAACCGAAACAGAATCACGATCTTAATGATACTAATGGTTATTAATTAAAATGTCCAAATACAAATAAAATCCAATAATAATATTAATAATATAAATTTTATTATTATCCTTTATCAATAATAATATTATTAATTAATAATATAAATAATATAATACTCTTCTAACATTTTCAATTTCATCTTTACACACGTACAATAGATGGAAATTGCACAATAGAGCTTCAAAATTTTTTTACAAAAAACATTTTCTTCATGACCATACTACAATCAAAATTGCAAGTATCAAAGGTCAAAATGTTATAATGTTAACATGAGAACCAAAATGTTGTGTAATTGCATGATGTTGTGTTAAAAAAATGCATGAGTGTTCTAGTTGAGGCACCAAAATAGAGTGAAGTAGTTGGAAAAATGCATGATGTTATGTTAAATAATAGAGTGGTTATGTAGTTGATACACAAAAATGAAAACCAAAAACAAAATAAAGACAAAGAAAACTCGTATTAATAATATAAAAGGAGATTCTCTCACCGTTGATATTTTGTAAAAAAAAATTTAATTGAAACAGTTGTAATAATTTAAAAAGTTGTTTTAACTATATCTCTACATTTTTTTATTTATCATACCTATTATATTTTTAAGCTAAATTAATCTCTTTAATTTTTATTTTTTGTATTTGATTTGATTTTCTCCATCCACGTTCTATGTTTTGATTTTTCAATCTCTTTCTTTTTTATTTCTTTCTTTCTCTTATTTATTTTTAAAAGTTAAATTAAAATTTATGAGGGAAGGATAAATAGTGAGATGAATGGTGATATAAAATAAAAAAATTATAATAATACAAAGCATTAAAGTATTGGAGTGATTAATTTGTGTTATTTTTTAGAACAAAAATAATATTTTATTATTACATTTTTTCATAAGTAGTGATAATATTTTTCATAAGTAGATTTCTCTTTTGTAACCTGTTTTCACCGGTATTAATTTTAGAGAGAATATGAGTATTGAAATTGAGATTTGAAGTTATTAATTGTTTCAATTTAAATAAATGGCAATTTATTATTAATTGCCTTTCAATTCAAGTAAATGGCAGCTCGTTGTTAATTTCTTTTCAAATCAAGTCAATGACAACTTGCTCAATAGTATTGACATGTATTTACTATTTCTAAATGTTTACTTTATGAATGCATAACAAATTCAAAAATATATATAGAAAATTAATGACATCTTAAGACCAATATATTAATTACAAATTCATATTTCATAAAAGAGTAACCTTATGAATGTAGTTTGCAATACTAAAAAATTTAAGATTGTTAATTGGTTTTTAAATAAGAAGAAGGATTATAAGGATGGTAAATTTTATGAGATTGTGTCGAATGATTTGAACATGAAATTGACGAATAATTTGATGATCAGAAGAAGATCTGAAATCAACATTACTTAAGGTGTTATTAAGTTTTTGTGTCTGCGGTCAACATATTAAAAATATCAGCCGTAAAAAAAAAATGTTGAAAACATATTGATGTCTAAAAAAATAACTTTTTATTTTTTTTGCTTACAAAAGAGAAATTATCAAAGAACAAAATTTTAAAATGTGTTTAGACACGTGATTGTGATTATTATGGGTGTGTTAATTTCTATTATAAAATTGTGTTGCTTGATTCTCCATATATATATTCATATATTTAGTTATATTTTGATTTTATAAGTTCCTCATATATATATTCAGTTATATTTTGATTTTATAAGTTGACGAGTATTTATGTGTTTTTGAGTCATTTAATATTTGGAATGAGATAAAAATTTAATGATTTAAGTAAGTATTTTTTAGTCCTTTGTTATTTGTTATTTGGGTTAAATGGACATTATTTTAATTTGTTAGTGTTTTTAAAAAATCAGTTTTTTGTGCTTGGCGTTATGTCACAAATTTTATCACGTCAATTAAAAAATATATTTAATTTATTATTTATTATATTTAAATTTTAAAATTCTTTTTTATTATTATTTTATATTATTTAATATAAATTTATTTTATTTGAGTTATTAGACATAATAAATCAAAATTTAGTTTCAAGAAGAATGGTTCGAATCGCTTTAACACCATGATTTATGTCAATTACATTTCAATAAATCTGATAAAATATATTTATATTAAATAAAATAATAAAATAAAAAAAAATTTAATTTCAAATATAATAAATAAATAATTTTTTTATTTGACGTGGCACTGCATCGTCATTGCAATAGTGCCACATCATAAAAGGAGAACTGAAAAAAATTCAAAAGAATTTAAATAAGGGAACTAAAAAATTGATTTTGTTTTTAAAAAAAATTAAAAGTTTAACATTATCAAAATAGAGGGATATTTTACCCAAAAAAAAGAATGCATTTTAACCTTATTATTAATTACAAAAAAATTATAATATTGTCTTCAATTAACAAAAATATTAAATTATTTAATTAATTTTAATTAACATTAAATAGTTATTTTTAATTTAAATTTATAATTTAATAACATTAAATTATAGAATTTAATATCTTTTTGATCTTCTAATTATAACAAATTTTCCCTTTTCATCTCTCTAAAATTAAAAAATATATATTGGAATTCTAGATATTTTATTTCCAATTTTAGTATATATTTTTTCTTTCATAAGTTCACATTACATGTTTTAAGTATTTTCTTATATGATATATTATTAATAAAATATTATGTATTTGTTAAAAGTATAATATGTGACAATTCTTTGAGTTGTAGGATTGTCAGAGGTTTTAGGATTATTTATAGTATTAGAGCAAGTTCACACAGGTATGTGAGAAGTTTTATATATAGTGTTTTTGCTTAATAAATTGGATCCCCATTCAACCTTAGAGTTGAGGTATATATATAATAAATTTATAGGCATGTCACATGGACCTTAAGCTCCCAGAGAATGACAACCGTTCTCAAGAATGTGGGAAATGGATAGTCAATTCCCTATTATTTATGAGAACGTGATCTTCCTAATTTGTTCATTCTTTGTACTGTTGTGGACAAGGAAACGCCACTCACATGTTCTCATGAATTGGGCGGGCCATCTAGGGAATGAGTGACATAATTAAGAAATAGGTGGTCGTCGCGATAAATGGGTGGCTAGAGAGTTCATCGCGTGGAACCAAACTTTTACTCATAAAAGGCAAAGTAAAGTATGCTGTTATTGGGGTTTCAACTGATTTTATATATTAGACCTCAATGGTCCACGGTAGAGTTTCCACCCAAATATACAGCAATTTGCATTCAAGTAAATATATTCATCAATAATACAAATATCGTAATGTCTAGATGAGGAAATACAATGTGTGCAATTTAATCAATTGAATAAGTCACGAGATTTGGTTACGTAATTTATCAATAAGTCTAATTCTAAATGTACAATGTTTCTCAGATTTTAATCACCACTGAAGCCCTTTATT